CATTTTCATAAAAAAAGTATTATTTGTCTATAAGTCATAATAAAAACAGATATCCGAAATTTTGTATTTGATAATTATGCAAAATATTTTATTTGTACTAATTAATGAATAATAATTAATGTACTAATGAATGAATAAATAAATAAATTGTAATTAATTATTTCGTTGTAATGAAAAAGCTTTATTAGCAAAAAATTAATTAATTAATTAAAATTAAGATATACTAGCGCATTAAATGAAAATATTAGAATAATTATGTTAATTCGCTTTTTAAATAATTTATGCTTTCAACCAAAATAACTAAACGCAAATTTGTAGAAATTTAAGCAGAAGCAAGCGTTGAAAAGTTTAAAACCTGCGGCATTTTAAACGAGGGTCAGTCCCGTTTCATAAATGAGACTGCTATTTATGACTGAAAGAAAACATTACCGAAGATTAAATATTTATTACATCGTAAATCAAAATGTAGATATGTGAAGTGGAAAGAAGCATATCGCCCACTCATTTGAGCACACTAATTCCCGAGATGCAAAGCGGAAGGAGAGGACTTTGGTAAACATTCAGATTATAATGATCTTCGAAGCATTGTAATGCTGAATCTGTTTTAAACGCTCATTATACCACAGCTGATGAAAGAACACTCTTTTATAAGCTTAGTGCACTTATCGTGGATTACAGTGCAATATGACGAAGCGAAGTTTCAAAATTTCATTTAGTTGTTTTGAATGTTGGAACGATTTTTCGTTTATACCTTCTTTAACGAATAAACTAAAATTCTCAGAAATTTATTGTTTTTGCCATTCGAAAGAATGGAAAAATATTCTCTTGGCATGAAATTTGTATGACGTTTTAAACCTAATGTCTAATTTTTGGCGAATTTCAAAAAACCGCACTATGTCTTGATAATTCGACGTCTATGATTTAAAAATTTTAAATTTTAATATAAAATTTTATCGATTACAGTTTGAAATTTTTACTGATTATGCAACAAACTCTTTACCATCTTTTAAAACAAGAATTATAATAAGATATTAATAAGGCACTTTTCTGCACTTTTCAAAAAATGAGTGCATTTATCTAAAGAAATTAGCCCAGAAAACGTTACTGCTATTTTTAGAATAAAGAGGGAAAATACCCAAATTAAAATGAAAAATTAAGGAGCTATTGGTAATTTAAGTTATAGTTTTAATTTGCATATTTTTCATCTTGCATGTATATATATATAAAGAAAAATGAAAGCAATAAATTCTTAAAAAATCGTGACTCTATTACGCAATGAAATTGGCTATAATTTACTGAAAATATTAAAAATATGTGAAACTGTGAAATGTTTTAAAATCATTTCCATTCAAACAAAAAATAAATTAAATAAAAAGGCCTTTTTTTATATAAAAATGCTTTTGTTTAAAATTCATAAAATGTGTCTTTATTTAAAGGTCAAAATAGTTTATGAACTAAATGGAGAAAAATAATTGATCACATAGTTTTATGGAAACAAGCCATAAAATGTAATCCCGAATAATAAAATCGTGTCAGCCCAAATAACGAAATCTATGAATCGAATTACTTTGTTAAAAATATAAGTCATCATTTTTTTTTAATTTATCAAGAGCGCCTCTCGCTTTTATTATTTGTGGTATAGAATTATGGATGAATTTTTAATGAGTATTATTCAATCTCTTGTTCCAATTATGTAACTAAAGCATTTTTCTCCTTTTAGTTCCTTGAATTTTTATACATATTGTATAAAAGTTTAATTTATGGAAAACCTTTACAAAAATTTTTGTCACCATTTTAGTTACAATGACATGTTGTGAACGAAATTCTTAAATTAAAAAGTCGTTTATCAACAATGAAAATTTATTCTTTTACTTCCAACAATTCTTCTGTATGAAAAGATCTAAAACAAATCAAAAGAATTCGCAGTATATTTTGAAATTTCGTCAAAAGTTTCATGTAAAAGTCATTTTAAAGAATTTTCCGCTCTATCCGATGGTGCAATAGTACAGTTCTAATATTTTAATTTGCTTGTTAATCATAGAAATTTGCAAAAAATCGTTTCAGCATTAAATTAAAAAAATTAACACTTGATTTTAAAACCTCGTTCCATCACATTGTATTTTTACTCACAAAAAGTGTTTGCGCAAAGTTTGAGCTCAATGCTTGATGAGAAAATAGCTTATAAATCGATGACAAACTTTTGATCATATCGACAAACACATTGAATGAGCTAAATGAAAGTTATAAATTTGAGCTTAGTAGTGTATAAACCACTGAAGAAAACTGAATAAGTGATAAACAAGCGAAAAAAAAGTTTTAAAGGAATCAAAGGATCATAAAAACCAAAGAGGTTTCACATTTTCTTCTGACATCAGGGTTAGCTAAGAAAAAGAAAGGTTATGATTTTTACATTTCCGGGAACCAAAATGTCACGACAAATATTAAAAACCTCTTTAGGATTTTATGATTTTGAATCTTTGTCTTTAAGTTTAAAACATTTTTAATTCTTTTATTATTTAATTTTTCTATTTGTTTTTTAGTTATTTTGTCGCAGCGCTTCATTCACCACTCTGTTCAATTTTTATATTCATTTTTTCTCTTTGTTGTTTATTCATTTTTCTGTAGTGCTTCATTCACGACTCTGTTCAATTTTGAATCTTACATTGCAGTTTGAAATGCAATATGACTTTTAAACAGGGTTTCACTTTTTATTATACATACATGTGTATATATATAATATATAAATGAATATATACAAAGTAGTTCAAAATCCAATCCAATTGTGCTAAATAAATTTAAAAAATTTAAAAAAGAACTTAAAATCCATCCCATTTTTCAATTCGGAAAAAAACATACAAAAACAAAAAAGCAAAAGCACAGTGGCAAACTGCATGATAGGCGTAAAAAATGCCAAAACCAAAAATGAAAAGGGAGAAAGTAATTTACATCTTGCGCTGCGTCATTATCAGAGTAGTTTACTACTATGTTTATGATATATGTATAATTTATAAAAATAAATCTTTCCATATACCATCTCCAAGGAACATGCTTTAATATTTTTAATTACTTTATTTACTCTAAGGAACACAGTTTAATACTTTTAATTACTTTATTTTGAATATAAATATGTAAATAAGATATAAAATATGAAAAAGTACTAACTTTAATTTAGCAATAGCCTCTTTAATTCCTTATTTTCATCTGGCTACGTCCCCTTCTTGTATCAAAACTACTAATGCCTCATTTGAAAATTAATTTGTATAATTTTCCATTACTTAAGAGCAACACTGCGGACGGATATTTTTTCATGTAATCTCAACATTTAAGCAAAGGAACCAAGTTTACAAATACGGCTGTTGCTAATGTGATGCCTTTTGTTCCCATTTTGCTTGCTTTGGCAACATGTCGCGTAGCGTTTGCTAACTATTGGCTATAGCTCTGAAAATGTAAGGTGTGCAAATTGTGGGGTGCATAGCGCACCCGTGAATGATGATATGTGCATCTATTTATGCGTATCAAGGCACGGGATCCCTCAAGTGCAGAATAGGAAATTTATTTCCCAATGGAAAATATATCAGCCAGGTCTCCAAATCGTCACTTGTGTGATAAATTAAAGGCACTGTGTAAGATGGGGAAACGTACTAACATCATTCTGCTGTAGTATTTTAATAGTGCATGATTTGAAATATCAAGGTTTCAAAAAGTAATCATGCATAGTGTTTATAAAATGAATAATCAAATTGGTTTTCCGGCATCAAGAATGAAAGCGATTTAACGGTGTGTTCCGAAATCCTTTGAAGTTAATCAAAGTATGTGTTCTCTACATTGCTTCGCTTCTTTCGGCTCTTATGCGAATATTTTCACTTGTGCAGGACTGAAGTGTGTGTTAGGAAATGAACTGAATTTCTTGAATAATATAAGCTGCATTAATGCTATTCAAGCAAGGATTAAAAAAATTGTGACTTTTTACGATAATTTCTTGAAAAAGTTAGGACGGTCTTTATAATATGATAAAGAATTTCCCTCGCCTTCTAAGCATGCCTTCGTGGTGTAATGGTTAGCACACTCTGCACGCATTCGAGAGGTCCGAGGTTAGAGTCCCGGCGAAGGCACTGCACATTTTTTCATGTCTCCTGCTTCGAAATAGCCTAATGTCTCTAAAATATTTTCAGAGAAAAATGAACTTGCATACGTTTAAAAGTAAACTGAAAATTTCAATAGAAGTCTAGAGTTTGCAATTTGCATATTCAAAATTTAATTAAAATTTTATGATTTTTTTTTTTAAATAATGTTTTTTTTTTATTCTGCTAAAGTTCTAATGCTTTTTTTCTAAAAGGGTTTTTCCGTCGCCAAGCCATTTTGTGTTTGAAGGGGCGATGTGTAAGAAATAAAACATGAAAGACCTGCTGTAATTTAGCAATAGGATTTCTGAAGGCAAGTTGAAAATGACATCAAAAATTGCAAATTTTAAAATTAAATATTCTAGTCAATTTTTGTCATACGGGAGTAAACTTTTTTTTTATTTTTCATAACGAGTATAAAATGTTATAAAGCATAGCAACTGGAGGAATGATGTGTAAAAATTTAGATTTCATATTTCATGCAATTTCGTTTAAATTTAAAAATGCGAAAATATGAGTTTTTGCGTCATTTAAATTATACTTGTAATTGAAAGTATATGTATGACCGACGGTTGATGAAATAAAGGCCAGGTAAGAAAAAAATGGCAGACATATATATTTAGGGAGAGAGAAATAAACAAGGGCAGGAAGGAGGGAAAGAAAATCTTTTTGTCTTTTTTATAACATTCATTCTTTTGAGGCATACAAAATAAAAATAAGTAAAATCAAATTCTAACTATAACTGGGAAAACGTGCGGAGAGTAGCTTCTGGCATATTTTGGCTAAAATCAAAATTAAAAGGCGATAAAAAAGAGAAACGAAAATAAAATTTACTGAAATGGTACTGTAATTCCGGAAAAATTGAAAATATGACCCTACCTTCTGCCACCATCGTTAACCGAAGATTCGATTATTCCTCTCGAAAGCATTTCGACCGATATTCTTCTAGAACAGAATTACTTTCGCCGAGAACCTAACGTCAGACGGGAAAACTTTTCCGCATCGATCCCAGCATGCCACCTGCGTGATCCGAGCCTCAGCTGTGAGGCTGTTGCCACATACGTGGAAACTTTTTCTGCCTGTCCATCACGAGACGGTGCGCAACAAATGCTTCCTGCTAATGAGCTTCCGAAATCGTTGACTTCGGGGAAAAACATATATCCTCCCTTCTGCAGCTGAATTATGAAGAATGCTTTATTAATTCGGCTGGGGAAAGTACTGATATACTTTTTTTCTCTTTTCTCGCTTTAAATTGGAATCTGAGATCAATAAAAAAAGTGAAGAGAGATTTTTCTTTCTTTTATCCGAGAAACGTCACACGAAATTTTATTTTTACAGATCGAATAAGTGTGTTTCGTAACACTGAAGAGTTGATATCCGGGTTTTCCAGGCTTTTAAAAAATAGAAGGCTTTTCTTGAAATCTTTCAAAAGTCAAAATAGTATAAAGAGAAAAGCAAATTAAATTTTTACCATCAGAGTTTTTTCGACTTGACAAGCCCAAAATCTTATGGAAGTAATCACACCATATAATGCATAAAACAAACTTGAATCAATTTGTACCATATATGCAATATAAGGGATTGAAATATCTTTTTTTACTTCCTTGTACGAAGTAAAAAGGAAGTATTGTAATCGCGAAAAGTTTCAGGCATCATATGTCAACGAAAATATCCATTTTGACCGCTATCAAATGCAATTTAACGATTTTTTGTGCGACATCTGTACGTAAGGACAGAATAAAAGACTCTTTCCCCCCCGAAAAATTATAAAACTGATTTAAAAGGAATTATAAAGAGAATTTTTCGTGGTGTCTGTACGTACGTATGTATCTTCTCACATAACTCAAAAACGAGTAGCCTCAGAACGTTGAAATGTTGTAGATCGGACAGCTATAACATATAGATGTGCACTTCGTATTTTGGTTGCATTTGGCAGCACCATACGTATATATATATATATATATATATATATATATATATACACATTCTGTTACCCAGCTCAGTGATATCAGTTTCTGTACTTTTATATGCTTGTAAGTTGTCCATTTTTTGCTTTAAAAATGATTGAATTATGTTGTTCTTATCTTCCGGTTAAGGTTTTTATGTCTTTAGTAAATCTGCATTCAATATTTGTGGATTTATCAACAATTTAAAAGTTGTTTAAGTGCACCTAAGCCTAATTACTTTTGCGATGGCGGACATGTTTGTTTACATATCAAACGCAAAATAGCGGATCTGTTGCCAATCTAGAGAAACTAAGCTTCGCCAAAGATAACGCCTTCTTTTATTATTGCGAATTAAATTATGTTTAATCCATTCTGGAATTTATTCCAGGAAATAAGTGTTTAAAGATTTATTTCGTAATTTTTAATATAGATATTTTGAGTTTTTATGTATTTTTTGCCTTATCGGGAAGTGAGAACTGAATTAATTGAATGAGAAATACTGAATCGTCTGGGAAAAACTTTTTTTTTGTTTTGTTTGCTTAATTTCTTTCATACATCGTTTTATATTTATTATAGTATTTGAATAGAATATGTGGCAACGATTAGATAATTCTTCAAATGATATAAATTTATATGTATTCTGAGTTATAATATGAAAGAAATATAACGCTGTTAAGTGAACCTAGGGCCAGAGTGTCGCTGTGGTAAACAAATATAGTGCATTTTAAAGAATGTATTTATTATATTGTGGTTTATGCGCTATCGACGAAGTAGATTTAATTCAATCCAACAAATTTTAAATGAAATGCAAGAAAAATGCATATAATTAAATATTCCGTACAAGGAAGTCGTGTGGTGTTTACATCAGATTTTTTAAATTACAGTAACGATGCGAATTGTAAGACAAGATGCAAACTGGATATTATAAGGTATTATAACTTATATCAATTTACTCATCTAATTAAAAATATTGAGAAACCTGCTTTATTGTTTTTTAATTTTCCAGGTTGTTAAGCAATTTCAGATTGATTTAATTTGATAGATTTAATTTATTTATAATGCATGGCGATTCTCAGCTAGTTGTGATACTATATGTGAGGTTGCGGGGAAATTAAAGACTCTATGTTTCACGCAATAATAATACTTGCCAAGGCAAGTAGTTGAAATTCCGCGTATCATTAGCTTCAAAAATAATGTACTTATAATTTTGAAAGGTAAGCGTATAGTATCTTTATATATCCAAAAAATATGTAGATATTTTTTAATGATAGGGTAACGCAAAATAATCGAGTAATTATTAATAAATAATATTAAATTATTATAAATCATATTATTATTATAATAATTATCGAGATTTTAGAAACACTTCCACTAAGCAGATTTCTTATGCCTAAATCTAAAATAATATATTAAAATATTAAATAATCAGAAATGTTTTTACATGTCAAATGATTTCTTGTGAGAGATATAGTTCATTTGCGGTAGAACGCCGGTTAATCTAACCTAATATATTTTGAATAAGAACATTTCGCATAGTTGCTTAGAAAGTATGAAACGTATTCCATATTTGTACCGCGTAATCCAAAATTGTCTTGGTACAATAATGACACTTTTAGCATTCCACAATAGACGAAATATTATTTTTTATAAATAGGATGGTTTAACTTATTTAGATTTTTTAATTATCAGTGAAATAGTTTTTTTTTCTTTCTAGGAAGATATTTCTTTAGTACATGTAACGTATTCTTCTCTGTGCTGTCATATTTTGAATTCTTTTAGGTACAGAAATTAAAAATGAATCGATTTTCTCATTGAAACCATTCTATAGTTACTTCTAAACATTAAAGTATTTGATTGCCTGGAATATAATAGTAACAACGATTTCATATTTATTCTTCCATTTCTATTACAACTTTAACATACGATATGATTTAATAATTGTTACATTTTAGCACCCATAGACATTCATATCGATATTTAACCAGTCTTTAATTTTCACTTCAGTTATAACTGATATTTCTTCTAATTTCTTTCCTTCATCCATTTAGAGTTCCACGCATTAGCTATACCTACTATGGTACTATGGTATTGTTTTAAAATGACCAGTTGCTGTGAGATAGCTTTCCAGCAAAGCGGATTAGGGTTACCAAAAAGTGGCAGAGAAAGACAAGTTTGCCAGATTTGGCGCGAAATCGCCCATTTTGCGAAATTTGGCGCCAAAATTGGCGATATGCCACAGAACTAGTGAGAAGATTCTAGAATGCATTCTTAGCGGTTTTCTCGATAATATTTTTGAAGGTACGTTAAAGCTATATATATCCTGCCTGTACGGGGAGAGTAGAGTAGTAGTGTCTTGAGTTCAGACATTAGCCTGAAAGCGATTGACCGATTCAGGAACTGTACTTTAGTACTTTGCAGTGAAACTCTCTACCATTATTGCCTGAAGGCTATCTTGCTGATTGTATCAGCGTGTTTATCGTAGTTTTTCGATGACTGTAAACGTGTCTCTGGATCTGCCTTGTATAGTACTGGCGAATAAATTGTGTTTTGATTCTTCATCAAGTGTTATCATCGGTTACTCCAAATCCACGAACACGTAGAAAGCAACAGTATATTACTTTAGAACAGCAAATGCATGATCATTTTCCGCATCCCAAATTGCTTCGTAACCATGACAACTGCGGAAGATAGTCTAGTCCTTTTTCTCTTTCCACTTTATTTCCATTTATCGCATTTCCCTTCGTGAAAAAGCCCACGATTGAATAGTGATCTGTACTATGGTTCTCGGTTCTCAAATGAGGTGGAGAAATATGTTTTGTGTGGTGATGACGACACTAACTATGATCGCAAATGAGTAAGGATCGTATAGATCTTTATGTGACTATTTTGAAATAACAGACTGTAGTGCACTCAAATAATTATACAGTTCAGACGGCCAGCGTTTTACTAATATTTACAATGAGGTTACCTTTTCCAAGATCAGAAGAAAACGATTAGGTACTCGTAGAACTTGAGAAATGATTTAGTCTTTAAAAGTAAGGATGCAAAAGACCATTTTGTAGGAAGAGGGTCCCATGTGCATATTTTACACAACATTATAGTGTGAATCCTTCGAGGCAGGCAGATTAACTAAAGTTTACCATTTTATTTACGTCTGCACACCTCGTTGTCGAAAGCCGAAGCTATTATCAGCTATGGCTTTTATTTAAAGCATGAAATAAGAAAGCACGCTTGATTATGTGTTCTCAAGCATTTCCCCATGATACTGTTCCTTTCCAGCATTCAAAATATTTTGCACATTTGTTCTTTCAAAATTACATATGTCTCTGTTACTATTGAGTAAAAAAAAAAAAAGCTAGTCTTGTTTTCGTTTTTCACTCATTTTCCTAGAAGCGGAAATCTTCTGCAGGTCTCTTTCGTTCATCCAAAAGAGGGCATAATCTAGGTCTTCGTAAAAACAAAGTTGCTTATGATGAGCCTTGTTAATAATAATGGTATCTGTTCAATATAACCATAACTTGTGTTTGGCAATTTACCACTTCAGACACAACTGCTGATTCTATTCAAATTTTGAAACAAATACGGTAATTATAATTTTAAATTGAAAATAACTAAACATTTTTGCAGTTTGCTTTTATATAACATACGGCGCAAATTATTTATCAACTAACTAAATTATTGCCGGCATTGAAATTTTATATGCTAAGGACAGCAAAGTAATTATACAGCTCGAGAAGAATTTCTTGACTGTTCACGCTAACTGATTTATTCTAAAACAAATTTTTTAACTTAAAAAGAGGTAAAGAAAACTTTCTATGTGATTGCAGTTTATTTGCAGCATCCACAATTTAACTTCTAAAAGTTCTCCAATATGCGAAATCAGTTTGCTGATTATAATCGGATTAAAATTCACTAAGTAGTCACGTCTCTGCTACTTAAAACAATCGGGGTACGGTGCATTTTTGCACTCTTTCAGAGCACTTTTCCACATTACTCTGTAACATAAGAAAATCTTTATACAATATAAGCCCC